AAAAAGTAACTTGCGTTCCTTATCTGAAAAAGTAACTCAGATATTCTCTTGTAAATTAAAAAGTAATGCGTTAATTTTTTAGTTACTTGAACAAAGTAATCTGATTACGTAACTCGCATTACTTGTAATGAGTTACCCCCAACACTGCTCACCACTATGGATGGCTTGGTCATTTGATAAAATGGAAGGCAGAATAACTCTGTTATAGCAATGTTTGGAGATTTAGACCTTTATGATGAAAAGCAGATGCCAAACATCAGTTAAATGCAAGTGAAAGAAAAAAAAAACATTTTACATGTGACTATTACAGAAAGTATGCAATATATTTTAGGGTGACCATAACTTCTCTTTTTCTCAGTCATGTCCTGAGAAATGGTAATGACTGAAAAGTAGTTTGACCAATAGCATGCATGCATTGTACATAATCAACCAACTGTGGTGTGTGAGAAAATGGGATCTACAGAGAACAAATCAAAGCAATGCAAATACAAACACATATAATGTATGAGGATTGTAGAGAGAAAGTGTTCCCAGGACATGTCCGGGAAAAAGAGGATGTATTGTCACCCTACAATGTATGCTTCATATCAATATCTCATAAAGATGGTTTAAATAAAAGTAATATAAAATACAGTACTAGTTACATGCTTAATATAACCATGTTGATACAATGGGAAACAATTATTGTGAGGACAGGCCTACTTGTTTTGGTGGAGCCTCTGAGGCTCATGGTGCGGGTCAAGTCAAGTCAAGTCACCTTTATTTATATAGCGCTTTTAACAATACAGATTGTGTCAAAGCAACTGTTATGAGAAGTGTTCCCGGTTCCGGTTGACCTAATTAATGCAGCCTAAAAATCCTTCCGGGTTGGGAATCCACATGACCACTGGACACTGTGGCAACTCAGAGCAGCCCATCAAAGGACTGATGTGAACTGTATTTAACTGCAATCACAAGTCATCATTTATTTAATACAGATTTGAAAAAATGATATTTTGGAAGTCAAGTGTAACCTCTAAATACCTTGACCATATTGTTTGGTTTATCGCTGGGCTTGCTGGAAATAGGGAACATGGGGTCTGGGAAGGAAAGATTTGCCCTGCCAAACAATAACCATAAATAGTGGGATACAAAAATAATAGTTCTGATGACTAATGTTTGTATTAGACTCGCCTCTTAATCTTCTTAGTGTCTTTTGTCTGTTTGGTGAGAGAAACACAAGAGACATCATTCAAGGACACCATAGAGTGGCCTTTCTTTAATCGATCTCCTCTGTCCAGCCCATTCAGAGACATTAACAATACTCAGAGATGGAAAGTTTTCTGCTTGTATTACAAGAAAACAGAATAACAATATGGCATTATACAGACAAATTTCAAATCGGCTTGGGCTTGGATGTAGGTGACACAAATACATTATGCAGTATCCAAAAATCACAGACATTCAGTTATTTCAAGTGAGAAAGTAGATGTGCAAGGGTCATAAATGCAATGCAAATGCACCATTTTTGAGACTGTGTTTCCTCACGCGTGCTGGAGTGTGGCGTTGGATTCCTCTGGCGCAGTGGTGCTCAGTGTCCCAGCAGCAGTTACGCTGGCTTTAAAGTCCCTGAGGGAAAATAGATGAGTTTTCAAAGAAGATCAATCAGCCTGATCAGACTTGTGAGTGGAAAGACTTAAAGCAATAATTTGCCCCCAAAAATGAAAACATACTTTACTGTACTCACCCTCAGGCCATCCGAGGTGAGTTTGTTACTTCATGGGAGCAGATTTGGAGAATTACATCACTTGCTCACCAGTGGATCCTCTGCAGTGAATGGGTGCCGTCAGAATGAAAGTCCAAACAGCTGATAAAAACATCACAATAATCCACAAGTAATCCACACCACTCCAGTCCAGCAATTAATATCTTGTGACGTGAAACGACAAATCCATCAACGTCTAACGTCCAAAACATCCATCCTGTTGTCTTCTCACTTCAAAATCCACAGAAAAATCCATATTTGTTCAAAACTGTTTTAGACTGTTTTTGTTTAGAAACGGTGCTGGATCTGTGCATATTTCTCTCCCGATTCAGACGAGATGACTTTTTCACTGGAGAAAGCAACTCGTATGAAGTAAAAAATGTCTTAATGATGGATTTGTTTCTTACAAACACACATCTTTTCACTTTAGAAGGCGTTAATTGATGGACTGGAGTGGTGTGGGTTACTTGTGGATTACTGTGATGTTTTTATCAGCTGTTTGGACTCTCATTCTGATGGCACCCATTCACTGCAGAGGATCCATTGGTGAGAAAGAACTGCTACATTTCTCCAAATCTGTTCTGATGAAGAAACACACTCATCTACATCTTGGATGGCTTGATGATGAGTAAATGTTCAGCAGATTTCCATTTTTGGGTGAACTATTACTCTGAAGAGTCTTTTTAGCTTATATTAATATCCTAATATTATTAGTGAGAAATGTTTCAAATAACCCCACATGCTTTTATTCAATTAATAAAATGACAATGTGGTGATGATGATAAACAAAACGAACAGCTTCCTATTACTGTGCTATTCATTTACTGTAAGAAAAGCACTTAGATTAAGTTTTAACTGAATTGGATTCGTTCTAAAACTCAGTGCATGATTTTGTCCATTTAAAAGCAGGTGTAATAGCACTATAACAGAAAAAAAAACATGAAACATATTTTATATACTTACCTCATTTGTTAAAAACAGAGCACATCCTCGCAAGCGAACTTGTGCCTTTGCTTGTGTAAAGTTTGGTTGCTTAGCAGCAGAAGTTCACTGGCCTACTTTCACTTCACACGCGCTAATGCAATGCTGTTAAGGTATTTGTTATGACAAATATCTGTAATACAAATAAAATAGATTCTTAAATTAAGATTACGAAGCATTCCCGCCAAACTTATATCAGTTTTACTATTGTTTTACAACAGTTGATACTACATAAATTAAATATAAATAATAATATAAAACATAATAACATAAATAATTATGTGTTTTTAATAAGAAAAAATGAAAATAAAACGGAATAAATCCATTATATTCAATAATTACATTTAATACTTAATTTTAAATGGTTTTCATGTTATTAATAAATCTAAACAGTGACTATAAGCACATTAAAACATATTTTAGATTTTCCAAATGTGTTTGTATGACTATTTTTTTTCTTCTATCGGAAGTGCCGAGGGACGTAAGCGCGTGTGATCAGGTGGCGGGTCAGCTGACACCAGCAGAACCAGGAAGCGACTGCAGAGCATTATTATTACACTTGAATGTTTACTCACCGCATGCAGGCGATCATTACTGCATATCTGGAATATTATTAAAGCTGGCGCCTCAGTTCGCCCGGCGGCGTGAAGATCAGTCAGGGACATGTTTGCAACAGACGACGAGGACGGAGACTTTCTGTCTCCCACTGGAGGGTGAGTCTCCGACGGACAAACACACAATCATGCGGGCGAAAGCCATCAGACAAACACCATTCACTGTTTAAATAAAGTCTGGGTAGATGTATAACACCGAAACAACTCAAATGCAGCGACGGTATGGGGAAGAAAAAAACATTTTGGTTCCAGAGAGAAGCGTGTCACTCATTGGCTAATACCGGACATTAATGTAGCAGATAAACCGCAGCTTTCTTATGGGCTGGCAGATCAACTTGTTGCGACAAAAGTACATGAACAGTTTGATGTGTTAAATAACAACAGTTGTTTTCAGTATTCAACACTAGAATGTTACATTCGTTCTCACATGAAGCCCTTGATCATGTGACGTCTGATCCTTTTAAAGGGGTCATATGATGCGATTTCAAGTTTTCATTTCTCTTTACTTGTTGCGACAAAAGTACATGAACAGTTTGATGTGTTAAATAACAACAGTTGTTTTCAGTATTCAACACTAGAATGTTACATTCCTTCTCACATGAAACCCTTGATCATGTGACGTCTGATATATTCTGTTACACCAAATACACAAAATAATGATCTTTAAAAAAAGCATCATATGACCCCTTTAACAGTCCTCTATGTTGGGGTGTTGAAATCATCAATTTCACTAAAATCATCTGAGCCTGCCAAGTATTTTAACTAAAAAGCCCACTTAAGGAACACTAGTTGCCCCAAAAGCATGTGAACACTAAAAAGCATTAAAGTCTCAATGTAGTTGCAATCTGTAACATTAAAACAAGTGGCATCTTCAAACGAATTCTGCTAGTTTCTCAGAACTAACTTTGTTTTATGTAATGCAAGATGCTCAGACATTTTAAGTGTCATTTAAGTCATGTTTTTTTTTATTTTGTTAGATGGAAGGAACCCTGACATATAATGATTATTGTGCATGGGGTGAGAATATTATAAATGTCAAAATATTATTTGGAAAATATTGAGTTTCTATTAACCCTATAAAGCCTACTGTATGCTATTTGATGCACAAATTTATAAGGCCTCTAAATTATCAACATCAAAACTTTGTAGTCTGTTATATTGTGAAGGTTTGCATTACAGGCTATCAATATTTAATTTTACTTTTTGGCCGTATAAATGTTTTTTTTTCTTCCTTGAGTTTGAGCTCCATACTCTCCTATATTATACTATAGGAGCCATAAAAGCCTGACCAACTTAAAAAAATAATACCGTATTGGCCCGAATATAAGACGACCCTGATTATAAGACGACCCCCCTTTTTCCAGATGTACCTTTTGGAAAAAGGCTTTTTAAAAACCAAATCTTGTTTTTTCTCAGTAAAACACATTTTGTCTTCAATTATTTTCATATTGCATATTTTTCCTATTTTAATTTTTGTTTTGAAAGTATGGTAAAAACTGGTAAAACGTACCAACAATCACATTTAAAAAATATACACTTTTTGATATACCAGTAAAAAAACAAAAAACAGGTAGCCCATCTGAATTAGGACATTTAGGCTATCCATCTAATAGTAGCCTACCAATATCTTATTAACAGTAGAAGTTAAATCTTACTGTAGTCTTCAAATCTGGGTACTGTCTTACGTTTTAAAATCACAAAGGGAGTTTGGTCCCATCAGGCTAACGTGACAGTCACGACTCATGCAGCTGTAAGGTTTTCTTTTTCTTTTGTTTTTACTCGCGATCTTTACAACACGCATTACATTACGTATTTCATGGCACACTCGTTTTATGTGTATTTGGCGCCACCTATTGTTGTGGGTGTATTATTGACGTGTCAAAGTCTAGACCCTGAATACACGACGACCGCGTTTTTTCAGATGTATTTCCAAGAAAAAAACATCGTCTTATATTCGGGTCAATACGGTAATAAAAAGAACTTTTTTAATATATATTTTGTCTAAAGGTTTAATAAGCTGTTCCATTACTATCTATCTATCTATCTATCTATATTACTCATTGTTATTTCAAATGTCAGGATTTACAGGGTTGTTACATTATTAAAAGTTACATTTTTTCTACTCATACTAGGGCTGCACGATAAATCGAAATGGAATATGCAAACAGCTGTCATTATCGTGAACGATTTCTTCGATTTCAGAATCGCGCAATAAAATCGTCTGCGATTTTTTTGCGTAACTTGTCAGTGAACTACGGCTATGTGTAATAAATTCTGCTCCATCTGAAAGCACGTGATGATGATTTACTGCTGATTACAGAACCGGCTTTACTAACAAAATGCGCATGACAATCGCATTCGATTAATCGTGCAGCCCTAACTCATAGTACTGTAATGTTAGATGTATTATTTATTAATCTTTTTATTTTTATTATTCTATTATTTCTATTTTATTCTATTATTTATAGCTTATATGCTATAATAATTATTTAATACAAATTACATTAAAAAAAAATACACATTTTTCTCTATACATTTCCACAGATACCCTAAAACTCTTTTTTTCAGTGTCACTGCATTTTGGGGCCACTACATTCCTTCTCTCTGGTGTCATCTGAGGTTATATCCATAAATTCAATTCTGCGTTGGCATCCACATGTGTTAATGGGGAATTTGAAGCTGTTGAGAAGGATTGTAGAGAGGTGGAGAGTCAGCGTGTTAATGCCACTCACATGCTGGTAGTTACACGTCCCGGATCAGAGCAGGGCCTCAGTCTGGGGACGGGGCGCCCACAGTCACGAGGAGCTGCTGTGTGGTTGTAGTCCCTGCCAGACCTGCTAAAGAGATCTGATATTACATGGAATTGGAAATGTAAAGGCATGCAGCTCATATGCACATGAGGAGTGATTCACTGGTATTAGCTTTTAGCTTCTCTGAGCTGAGGCACCAGGTCAGAAACAGGTCAGCTGAGCATGGCAGGACAGCAGGACAGTGACTACAAGTGGAGACAGATCCATGGGTCAATGCCGTATGCGTTGATTAAGTAGCTTCCGGATGATATTGCAGAAGTCATACTTTTTTTTATCAGTTTCATTTGTCACTGCAGGTGTTCATTGATGTTCTTCAGTTAAAAGTTTAATCAAAAACTCATTCAAAGTCAAAATGAGATCAGCTTTAATTTGAGAGTTGAGCCTTGTTCAGAGACTCGTGTGATCTATGAGCAGTGATTTATTTGCTGCTTTTTTGCAATTTCAGAGCAAAGTTAGCCTCTCTCTTTGGACTGGATCAGGCAACAAGCCAGGGGAACGAGTCTTTCCAGTACACGGCACCCAAACAGCCCCACAAGAGCTCTGCCAACTCGGGTAAGACTGCAGGAACCTCTGTGTGTGTAAACCGCCACTTAAAGGGATAGTTCACCCAAAAATGAAAATTTGATGTTTATCTGCTTACCCCCAGGGCATCCAAGATGTAGGTGATTTTGTTTCTTCAGTAGAACACAAATGAAGATTTTTAACTCGAACCGTTGCAGTCTGTCATTCTTATAATGGAAGTGAATGGGAATCACGGCTTTGAGAGTAAAAAAAACATACACAGACAAAACCAAATTAAACCCTGCGGCTCGTGACGATACATTGAGGTCTTAAGACACGAAACGATTGGTCTGTGCAAGAAACTGAACATTATTTATGTTTTTTTTTACCTCTGATCCACGCGTGACGTCAAATAAATACGGTCGGGCAAAAAATTCCACGTTGTCTGATGATATATCAAAATCGTCTTCCATTGTGATGACCTGTACTTCTAAATATCTTTAGATCATCGCAGAGGCCCTATTCGACCTCTCCAGATACGTTGATGCGTCCGCCATTTTGGAACGTATCGCGGCCCATAGAAACATAGGCATCTACTTGTATATATCTATGTCTACTATGCCAGAGCACATACATGCGTCACGCGCCGGATGTTGTGAACGCGCTCAGGACAGTTGGACATTGCGGTGGATCAGAGGTAAAAAATTATATAAATACTGTTCAGTTTCTTGCACAGACCGATCGTTTCGTGTCTTAAGACCTCAATGTATCGTCACGAGCCGCAGGGTTTAATTTGGTTTTGTCTGTGTATGTTTTTTTTGACTCTCAAAGCCGTGGAGCCCATTGACTGCCGTTACATGACTGACAGACTGCAATGGTTTGACTTAAAAATCTTCGTTTGTGTTCTACTGAAGAAACAAAGTCACCTACATCTTGGATGCCCTGGGGGTAAGCAGATAAACATCAAATTGTCATTTGTGGGTGAACTATCCCTTTAAAAGTGGTCATATCACGTGGAATCAAATTTTCCTTTTTTTTTATTTTTTATAAATTTTAAATAAATTGGTAAGGAGTTAGAAACTGCATTTATAATTGACCCTTCGCAAAGACCCGCCCCCCTTCGTTACTGTTGCTGTGTCTGACAAGCCACGGCGCTCTCACGCCACACATCATGTTCTCACACAGTGAAAATACATTGCA